ATGCTAAAAGGAATTGTTCAAACTGAAACAAAAGGATGCTAACAAGTAACATGAAAACATCAGAAGGTATACAACTCACTTACAAAAGAAAGATATGGTCAAATTCACAAAACACTAATATTGTAATCATGGTATATAAACCAATTATGTCTTTAGTATGAAGATTAAAAGACAAAACTATTAAAAGTAACAACTACAACAACTGGTTATGGGATATGCAATATAAAAAGTTGTAAATTGTGACATCACAATTAAAAATGTGAGGGGGGAGAAGAGTTAATGTATAAACTTGGGCTTTGTTTTTTTTTTTCTTTTTTAATGATCAAAGTTATCAGTTTAAAATGACCTGTTCTAATTTTTTTGTAAGTCATATAGTAATCACAAAGTAAAAACCTTTAGGAGATACATTAAAAATAAAAGTAAGGGATCAAAACATATTACTACAGAAATCCATTTAACCAGAAAGGAAGACAGTAAGAAAGGAAAAAAGGAAGATCTACAAAATAACTTGAAAACAAGTAACAAAATGGCAGTATTAAATCTTTACCTATCAATAATCACCTTGAATGTAAATGGGTTAAACCTTCAATTAAAATACATAGAATAGCTAGATAGGATTTTTTTAAAAAAAGATACAATGATAGGTTGCCCACAAAAGACTCACTTTCGCCTGTAAGGACTCACATAGATTGAAAGTAAAGGGAAGGGAAATGATATTCCACACAAAAACAAACCAAAACAGAGCAGGAGTAGCTATAAACTTATATCTGATATAAACTTATATCTGATAAAACAGACTTTAAGTTAAAAACTATAAAAAGAACAAAGAAGGTCATTATATTATGATAAAGGGATAAATTCAGCACAAAGACATAAAACTAATATATATGCACCCAACATTGCAGCACCTAAAATATAAAGCAAATATTAAAAAATCTAAAGGGAAAGGGACTGAAATACAATAGTAGTAGAGGATTTCAGCATCCTACTTTCAGCAATGGATAGGTCATCTAGACAGAAAATCAACAAAGAAACTTAAAATTTAAACTGCACTCTAGACCAAATGGATCTAACAGACATTTACAGAAAAGTCCATTCAAAGGCTACAGAATACACATTTCTTCTCAATTGCTCATGAAATATTCTCCAGGAGAGATCATGTGTTAGGCCACAAAACAAGTCTTAAAAAGTTTAAGAAGACTGAAATCATACCAAGCATTTTTTCTGGCCATAATGGTATAAAACTGGAAATCAATAACAGGAGGAACTTCAGAAACCCTACAAAAATGGAAATTAAACAACATGCTCTTGAACAATCAATGGCCCAATGAGGAAATTAAAGGGAATTTAAAAATTTCTTGAGACAAATGAAAATGGAAACACAACATACCAAAACCTATGGGATAAAGTAATAGCAGTTCTAAGTTGGAAGTTTATAGCAATAAATGCCTACATCAAAAAAGAAAGATCTCAAACAAATAAACAACCTAAAATTATACCTCAAAAAACTAGAAAATAAGAACTAACTCCAAAATTAGTAGAAGGAAAGAAATAATAAAGATTGGAGCAGAAATTAATGAAAGAGACTTAAACATATAAAAGATCAACAAAATAAAACTATTCTTTTGAAAAGATAAACAAAATTGACAAACCTTAGCTATATTAAGAAAAAAGGAGAGAAGACTTGAATAAATAAAACCAATGATGAAAAAGGAGACATTACAACTGATAGATACCACAGAAATACAGAGGATCATAAGAGACCATTGTGAAAAGTTATATGCTAAGAGATCTAGAAGAAATGGATAAATTCCTGGATATTTACAACCTACCAAGATTGATTTAAAAAAAAAAAAAAAACAGAACATCTGAACAGACCAATAATGAATGAGGAGATTGAATTAGTAATAAAATGTCTACCATCAAAGAAAAGCTCAGCCTTCACTGCTGAATTCTATCGAACATTTAAAGAACTGATACCAATTCTTCTCAAACTATTCCAAAACATTCAAGAGGAAGGGGATTCTTTCAAACTCATTGTATGAGGCCAGCATTATCCTAATACAAAAACTTAACAAGAACACAACAACAACAAAAAGAAAACTACAGGCCAATACTTATGGTAAACATAGGTGCAAAAATCCTCAACAAAATACTAGCAAACTAAATTCAACAGCACATTAAGATCACTCATCATGATCAAGTGAGATTCATTTTAGGGATGCAAGAATGATTCAACATATGCAAGTCACTAAATGTGAGCTATTACGTTAACAGAATGTAGATGCAGGCAAAATCCAACACCCCTTCATGATAAAAACTCTAAATAAACTAGGTATGGAAAGAATGTACCTCAATGTAATAAAAGCCGTATATGACAAACTCACAGCTAACATCATACTGAATGGGAAAAAGTAGAAAGCTTTTTCTGTAAGTACTGGAACAAGATAAGGATGCCCATTCTCACCACTTTTATTCAACACTGCACAGAAATTTTAGCCAGGGCACGTAGACAAGAAAAAAAAAAAAAGATATCCAAATTGGAAAGGAGGAAATTAAATTGTCCCTCTTTGCAGATGACATGATATTATATACAGAAAACCATGAAGACACAAAAAAAACTGTTAGAACTAATAAGTTAAAATTGTAGAATAGAAAATCAACATACAAAAATCAGAAGTGTTTCTATATGCTAATAGTGAACTACCTGAAAAAAGAAAGAAAACAATTACATTTATAAGAGCTAAAAAAAAATAATTCCTAGAGATAAATTTAACCAAGGAGGTGAAAGATCTCTACAATGAAAGTATAATATAAAACAATGATGAAACAAATTGAAGAAAGAAATAAATGAAAAGATGTTCTGTGTTCATGGGTTGGAAAAATATTATTGGTGAAATGTCTATACTACCCAAAGCAATCTACAGTCAGCACAATCCCTATCAAAATACCAATGACATCCTTTACAGAAATAGAAAAAATAACACTTAAATTCATTTGGAACCACAAAAGACCCCAAACAGTCAAAACGGTCTTGAGCAAAAAGAACAAAGCTAGAAGGCCGGGCGCTGTGGCTCACGCCTGTAATCCTAGCTCTTGGGAGGCCGAGGCGGGTGGATTGCTCAAGGTCAGGAGTTCAAAACCAGCCTGAGCAAGAGTGAGACCCCGTCTCTACTATAAAATAAAAATAAAAAAAATAAAAAAAAAAGAACAAAGCTAGAGGCATCACATTACCTGACTTCAAAATTTACTACAAATCTATAGTGACCCAAATAGCATGGTACTGGCATAAAAACAGACAGAAAGACCAATGGAACATAAGATAGAGCTCAGAAATAAATTTATGCATTTACAGCCAATTGATATTTGGCAAAGTTACCAAGAGCAGGCACTGGGGAAAGGACAGTCTTTTCAATAAATGATGTTGGGCAAACTGGATATCTATATCCAGAAGAAAGAAATTAGACCTTTGTCTTTCATCATATACAAAAATCAACTAAAAATGGTTTAAAGACTTAAACATAAAAACCAACACTATGTAACTACTAGAAGAAAATATAGGGATATAGGGGGAAATGCTTCAGGACATGGGTATGGGCAAGAATTTTTTTGGATATGACCTCAAAAGCATAGAAAACAAGAAGAAATTTAGACAACCAGTGTTACATCAAACTAAAAAGCATACTGCACAACAAAAGAAAAAATAAGCACAGTGAAGAGGCATTTCTCAGAATGGGTGAAAATATTTGAAAACTATACACCTAACAAGAGGTTAATATTCAAAGTATATAAGGAACTCACTCATAGCAAAAAAAGTAAATAATCCTATTTTTAAAAAAGGGTAAAAGGACCCTTCTTAAAAGAAGACATACAAATGGCCAATGGGTATAGGAAAAAATGTTCAATATCACTAATCATTAGGAAAATGTATATCAAAACCACAATGAGATACCACCTCACACCTGTTACAATAACTATCAAAAATACAAAAGATAAGTGCTGGTGAGGACCTGGAGAAATGGAAACCCTTACACACTGTTGATATGTAAATTAGTACAGCCACCATGGAAAACAGTATCAAGGTTCCTCAAAATATTAAAAATAGAACTATTATGTGATCCAGCAGCCCCATTTCTGGGTATATATGCAAAGGACCTGAAATCAATTATGTCAAAAAGACATCTGCACTCCCAAGTTTATCTCACCATTATTCACAATAGCCAAGGCATGGAATCAACCTAAGTGCCCATCCATAGATGAGTGGATAAGGAAAATGTGGTATACACACACACACACACACACACACACACACACAATGGAATACTACTCAGCCATAGAAAAGAATGAAATTCTGTCATTTATGGTAACAGGGATGAACCTAGAGAACTTTAAGTGAAATAAGCCAGGCACAGAAAGACAAATACTGTGTGATCTCACCCATATGCGGAATCTGAAAAACCTGATCTCACAGAAGTCAACAATGCAGTGGTGGTTACCAGAGGTTTGTGGGATTAGGGAGGAGAGGGGATAGCGGGATGAAGATCAAAGCCTACGCAATCATTGTTAGATAGTAGCAACAAATAAATAAATAATTGCCCAGGACAGGCAAGCATATAGAAACAGGAACTAGACAAGTGATTCCCTGGGGCAAGGGGTGGTAGGAGGGAGGATAAGAGAGGGGTGGGGAGAGAAATGGGGAATGACTACTAATGGTTGTGGGATGTCTTTATTGAATGATGAAAATGCTCTAAAATTGATGATAGTGACAGTTGCACAGCTCTATGAATATATTTAAAAAAACACTGGATTGCACATTTTCTTTTATTTTGGAGTGTACGTTTGAAACGGGTAAATTGTATGATGTGTGAATTACATCTCGACAAAGCTGTTAAAAAACAGAAAGACACATTCCCCTGAGAACTGGCATGGTCGGACAGAGACACTTCGCTGTTTCAGAAACAGAAGCCTGGAGACTTTAGGAACTCATCAATAGCTCCTACCTTCTTGGTGGCTGATACAAGCTTCCAAACCAGAACCCAACTTTTAGGACTGTGTTGTTGTTCGTTCGTTAACTTCGGGAGAGGAGTTTGTTCTCCACGGTGGAACACAAAGATGGTACTGAACTCACAGAAAGTTTTTACACATTTGGTTCATTTTTTCAATAAACAGGGTCCTTTTAACTGGCCTGCGTTGCAGGGAGATCAGTGAGGGAACTTTTATCAACAGGTGATATCTTTTATCAACTTGTATCAACAAGCGGGCGGGCGGCGCCGCTCCGGCCAGCTCTACTGGGCTCGGCGTCTGTGGGCTGCCCAGCCCGGGGACCGCCGGGGGCGCATCCCCTGAGGGTGGGCCGTCTGGGGTCCCTCTCGTGGGTCTGAGGTCTCGGTCCCCCCGGGGTCGGAGGTCGGGGCCACCAGGGCGCTGGCCTGGCCCTGCGTCCCCGCGCGCCGAGCAGGCAGGCCCGGGGGTCGCCCGCGGCGGTAGCCCCGCACCTACCACAGGTGCGCGGGCCGACGCGTCACCTGCCAGGAGCCGCGGGGTGACTCCCCAGCGCCGACATTCTGAGGCAATTTCTCTGAGGGGGCCCCTCCCCCGACCTTCTGCTCTGAGGTGAGCCCAGGTGAGGCTCTGGTAAGCTTGAGTCACCTGATGGACACAGACGGTTACCTCAGATTTTTGTGGGACATCCGTCCACCAACTCCCAGGAGGACAGGAGAGCCCTCTTCCTTCTCCGCCTCCTCCCGCCCGGCGCGGCCCGGGCTCCCTGCTCCGCCCGGCGGCTGACTGGAAAGCGCGGACCATCGGATTCCCTCGGAGCCCGGAGCCGGGCAGCGCGCGCTCGCTCCGCGCATGCCCAGTGCCCGCCTCTCCGTCAGGCTCTGCGGGCTGCGCGCGTTCCCGCCGGGTCTGGACCCCGCCGCCCGTTATGGCGGTCCCCGGAGCCTGTGGGGACTCCGTCCTGAAAGGTGAGGGGACTTCCTGCTCCCCGGGCGCTCAGAGTCGCCCTGCGCCGGCAGGGGGTGGGTTTGAGGGCGGCACCGCTGGTGCCGTGCGCACTCGGAGCAGCTGGTGGGAGCAGCCCGCCGCCGACCCCTCCTCACTGCTCCCCATCCTGCCGCCCCCGCGCCTCAGGCCGCCTCACCCGTGAGGAGCGGAGCCGCGGGGCTCGCTGGGCAGCCCGCCCTCCCGGAAGTCGGGGTCTGGTGTCGTCCCCGCGTCTAGTCCAGCCTCCCACCCCCCGCCTGGACGCGGTGAGGCTGGGGGTCCGACACGTCGAGGACTCTCGGAGAAAACACGGGACCAAACAGGATGGTTGGGCCCTCAGCCGTCCTTCAGGTCCGCACGGCTTCTAATGGCCGCGCGAGGGTGGGCGCGTGCGGCCGCGGCGGGGCCTGCCCCTCTCCTGTGTGTCTGTGCCTATCGTTGCAATATCGGGAACGGCCTTTTCGTGAGGAATTGCTGACGCTTGCGTGGTATTGTCTTATCTCTAACGGCCCGGCGACTCTGTCACCCCGATTTACGGGAGGGGAAACTGAGGCATGGGGGTTCGGGTACTTCTCCCCCTGTCAGTGCAGGCAGGATTTTAGCGCCTGAGCTGCCGTCCTCACCTGTGTGAGAGAGATGGCGCCGAGGCCTGTCACTGCATCCGGGAGAGCTGAGGAGGATGGCATGGCCTTGTAGAGCTTGGCGTTGGGGAAAAGGGTTCTGCACTGAGGGGCCTGGAGTAGGGTGCAGCCTCACAGCTGAGCTTCTGTAATCAGAATGCGTGCCTGGTTTTCTAACGTTAGTGTTTTGTTAAATTAACGTGGCTTTCCCGTAAGCTTTCCCCACAATTATTTACCAACGGCACATCTGGAAAATTCTTTTAAAACGTCAGGTTTTGAGGAGAAGATAACCCACTAGAACAGAGGTCCACAAACAATACATACCCTCCCCCAGGCCAAATCTGGCCTGTTGCTCTGTTTCTGTGGGGCCTGCAAGCTAAGAATGTTTTTTACGTTTTTAAGTGGTTAAAAAGAAGAAGAGTGACGAATGAAAATTCTGTCAGCTTCAGAGTTCCTTGTCTAGAAATAAAGTTTTATTGAAACACAGGTTGGCTCATTATGATATTGCCTATGGCTACTTTTGTGCTGTGACCATGAAGTTGAGTAGTTGTGACAGGTAGTGTACAGCCTGCAAAGCCTAAATATTTACTGTCCCTTGATCGAAAGCAGACTTATGCACTAGAAAAATTAAGCCTGGTTTGGAAATTTAGAAAGAGCATGAGGTGTTAGGAATGTATACTGACATGTATGAACAAAGTTCTTTGCTTAAAATTTTAAGAACCATAAATTGTACTGATGCTATTTTGAATAGACTTTTAGTAGAAGAAATTTTCATTTTAATTTTCAATATAAATAAAAGTGTATTGGACAGTGGATGCTAGAAGTACAAATGTGTATTTCATGTTGATATCTTGTTATCAGATGTAGTGGCCTATGTTGAAGTGTGGTCATCCAATGGAACAGAAAATTATTCAAAGACATTTATAAACCAACTTGTGGCTATGGGAGCAAAGGTAAGAAATTCATTTTACCATTGTTACGTATCACAATCTTCTTATTGGTAAAAAGATATGTTTACATTTTCTTATTTGGGGAGTTATTACTTAGAATATGAAGGACAAAGCAATGGGTAAGTGGCGGGAGAAGAAAGAAAAGAGCCAAATTATGAAGAATTGAGAACAGTAGGACTTAACAGAGCAGTTGGGCATATAAGTACTGAGTGAGGAGGAGGAATATAGGATGAAAATCTGGATTCTAACATTGGTTACTTGGGTACATGGGGCTGGTAATCAAAGTGAGGAATACAGAAAAAGGAACAGGTTTCTAAGGGAAAGGTTATAAATTCACCATATTAAAAATACCTGTTGTATATCCACATATACAGGCGATGGGAGCAGAGACCTAAGGACAGAGAGAAAGAGAGAGAGAGAGAGAGAGAACGATGCCAGGAGAATGAGGAAAGCAAATGTGCAACTCAGAGGAGGGAAGTATTTCAAAGATGGAATTTTGAAACACTGCAGAGTCTTCAAGAAAGATAAGCTTGGCAAGTGTACTTTAGATTTCACAACCATAAGGTCATTGGTTGAACTTAGCATAGTTTTCAGTGAGATGGGTAAAGGAGATCCAAATTAGTCCAGGAATCATTGAGATATGAGGAAATGGAGATAGTCCCTCCTTATTTGTGGTTTCTTAGGAGCCATCTAGATCTGTGATCCCCAACCCCCAGTCTGCAGCCTGTTAGGGGCAGGGCCGCAAAGCTCTGCTGCCTCCCCACCAAATCTGCTGTGGAAAAATTGTCTTTGTATGGAGGCCTGCAGCAGTAGGTGAGTGGTAAGTGGTGGGCCAGCAAAGCTTCATCTGTATTTACAGCTGCTCCTCCCATCACCTGCATCACTGCCTGAGCTCCGTCTACCCCCACAACCATGGAAAAACTGTCTTCCATGAAACTGGTCCCTGGTGCCAAAAAGTTTGGGGACCACTGATCTAGATTATCAGATTTACTGTCACAAAGTGCTGTAAGTGAAAAGGTGGCAGTTCTCAATAAGGTAAAGAAAAAAAACTGCATGCTGAGATTGCTAAGAGAATGAATCTTCTATCCGTGAAATTGTGAAAAAGAAAAAAAATTCATGCTAGTTTTGCATAATTTTATTACAGTATATTGTTATAATTGTATTTTCTTATTAGTTATTGTTGCTAACCTCTTAACTATGCCTGATTTATAAATTAAACTTTATCATAGTTTTGTATGTATAGGAAAAAATAGTATGTTTGATGTTTGGTACTATCCACGGTTTCAGGCATCCACCGGGGATCTTGGACCTTACCCCCATGGATAAGGAGGCATTACTGTATTTGTTTGTTTTTTTTTGGCATGTGGGAGAGGCTGGCTGAAAGACTTAGTGAAAAGGGATAAGTTAAAATGGGTGAGAAGAGAATTGAAGGTAGGGCTGGGATTAGAGAGCGGCGTTAAGGGCATAAATTAAAGAGGCACTCCCACCCAAGCAAAAGTTGGGTACTTTGTTTGGTCTCCTAGTCCCTGCTCTGAGTGAGAGATCAAAGCCTAAGAACTGACTGGAGTGGAAAGGAACAGAGAGTATCAATAGGAGACACACCCATTTTGATAAGGCTGGAATGTAGAAACATGAGAGAGTTTCCATTTTATGATGCCTAAAATTTACCTGGGATGAAGACAAATTATTGTGGCTTAGAAAAAAGCCATTAGACATGTGAGTTGACAAAATGGTTTTTGAGGGTCATATTAAGATCTTAGATCTCTTGGATCTTTTTGTTTTTCAACTCATATTTCAAAAATTTTCATACAGAAAGTTGAAAGAATACTACAGTGATCATAGATTCAACAGTTGTTAACATCTTGACATTCTTTATTGCTTCTTCTATATACATTCTATTTTATATGTGAACTATTTGAAAGTAAGTTACAGGCATCTTTATTTGCCCCTGAATACTCATATGCATCATCTAAAAACAGACATTTTCCTGTGTAACAAAAATACCATTATAACATCTAAGAAAATTAACAATGATTTCTTAACAGTCTTCTAAAGTGGTTGGATTAGTTTATACTAAAGTATAAAATTTCTGATTGTTATATATACTTGTTTTTTATTAATCTTTTAGCCATTCTGGTATGTTTTTATCTGATTGTGATTTGAATTTGCATTTTTCTGTACTTTGTCATATAGTTATTTTGAAATCCCTATAAAAACCTCCAGCTCATATTTCTATTGGTTTTATGTTTTCCTTCTTGATTTGTAAATATTCTCTATATTTTAGAATTGTCTCCTTTGTCAGCCATATGAATTGCAGTATTTCTGTCACTCTGTGGCTTGGCTTTCATCTTCTTAATGGTATCTTTTGATAATTTTAATGTAGTTCAATTTGTTTATTTTTCCTTTATGATGAACCTTTTTGTATGTCTTGTTTAAAAAAATCTGTTCCAGTACCAAGGTATGAAGATTTTCTCCCATGTTATCTTCTGGAAGCTTTATCTTTTTGCCTTTCACATGTAGATTCATAGTACATGAGGAATTGATTTTTGTGTATGCTGTAAAATAGTTGTTTCATTGTTTTCCTTGTGAAGTTTTGTTTTAACACCATTTATTGAAAAGGCTGTCCTTTACTCAAGGTTTGTAGTACTGCCTTTGTCATAAATCAGGCATCCACGTATTTCTGGTCTGTTTGATGGCTCCATCTCTGTTCATTGGTCTGTTCTTCTGTTCTCACGACAAAACCACCCTGTCTTAATTAACACTTTATAATAAATCTTCGTTAAGTCTTACATTTTGTTCTTCAAGGTGTCTTGACTGTTCTTAGCCTTTTGCCTTTCCAAATTCATTTAGGATCAGTTTGTCAATTTACACCATAAAGCTTTTTTGAGATTTTGATTGGGATTGTATTGATAAAATAGATCAGTATGGAGAAAACTGATGTTTTTATGATATTAAATCTTCCAGTCCATGAAAACTATATGTGCTTTTACTGATTTAGGTTTCTTTAACTTCTTTTAATAATGTTTTATAATTTTCTCTGATGATTTTTATGTTATTATATAAATAGCATCTTTAATTTTTTTTCTAACTGTTGCTATTACATAGAATACAGTTAATGTTTTGCATGTTCACCTGAAAACTTATAAAACTCATTTATAAATTCTGTAGTTTTGGGGAGATTTAAAAATATATACACAATTGAATCATATGTAAATAAGGACAGTTTTTCTTGATGTACTGTTATGGCAAGGTCTAGTGTTAAGTAAAATGGAGATATCAGATTTCTGGTTCCTCTTCTCAATGGAAAGCTTTTAGCATGTAACCTAATATGGTTTTGTATGAATAAACTTTAATTTCATCAAATGTGTTTTCTACATGCATCGAGATGATCATATGATTTTTCTCTTTCAGTTTGTTAATGTGAAAAATAGTGATCAATTTTTTTTAAATGTTAACCAACCTTGCAGTCCTGGAATACACTTAAGTAGTGGTGATGTATTATCTTTTTCATATATTGGTTGATGTAATTTGCTAATATTTTGTTTATTTTTTCTGTAGATGTCTCCAGGGTGAGATTGGCTTGTAATTTTCCTTTCATGTAATGCCATTATGTGTATAGTTTTAGTGCTAATAATCTACTTGCTTCATAAAACAAGTTGAAGAGTAGTGTTTCTCTCTTTTCTAATCCTATGAGTTTGTGTAAGATTGGTATCATTAAATTTCTTTTTAAAATTAGTTTTAATTTATTTGGTAATTGTAGGATTATGCATATTTCCTATTTATTATGAGTGGTTTTAGAAATTTGGGGATTTCCTTAAAGAAGTTTATCTGTTTCATCTAAATTTTCAAATATATTACTTCAAAGCTATTATAATATCATGTCTGAATCTTTTTAATGTCATCAGAATCTGTAGTGATGATCCTTCATTCCTGACATTCATTATTCATGCCTTTTCTCTTTTTTTCTTCCCCTTGTTTTTAACTGGGTTTTATTAGTTAGTCTTTCTAGTGAACCAACTTTTGGCATTCTGGTCCTTATTTTTTATATTCCTTTTTCACTTTATTTTTTATTTATTTTTTTTTTTTTGAGACAGAGTCTCGCTTGTTGCCCAGGCTAGAGTGAGTGCCGTGGCGTCAGCCTAGCTCACAGCAACCTCAAACTCCTGGGCTCAAGCAATCCTCCTGCCTCAGCCTCCCGAGTAGCTGGGACTACAGGCATGTGCCACCATGCCCGGCTAATTTTATATATATATTAGTTGGCCAATTAATTTCTTTCTATTTATAGTAGAGACGGGGTCTTGCTCTTGCTCAGGCTGGTTTCGAACTCCTGACCTCGAGCAATCCGCCCGCCTCAGCCTCCCAGAGTGCTAGGATTACAGGTGTGAGCCACCGCGCCCGGCTCCTTTTTCACTTTATTAATTCTAGCTTCATCTTTAGTATTATCTAACTCCTTTGGTTTTAATTTGTTGTACTTTTCCAGCTTTTTGAGATGAATACATGGATTTTCAACCTTCTTACTGTGTATTTATACATTCTAGATCACACATTCTCCCTAAGCAGGGTGTTAGCTGCATTCCACAAGAAGTCTTCATCTGGTAGATTGCAATATCTAGGTCTGCTTTTATTTTTTGTTTTATCCACTGGTTTTTGTTCCTCTTGTTCCATCTTCTTCTATGCCTGTTTTTTATTTGTTCACTTTTTTTGAATTTGAGCATCATATATTTAAAATTATTTATAAATACTTTGAGACATAGAATTGTATTATCTTTATGGAAAAAAGATTAAGATTTGCTTTAAAAAGAATATTTGTAGTACTCATAATCCAGGATTATTTTAATCAAATTTCAGGATTTGAAATTATTTAGAAATAGACTCGACCTATGAGGGTCATTATAACTTGCCTAAATGCAGCTCTTTGGTTCTCTACCCAAGGTGTAGGGCTTTTATCAAACCCCCTTCTTTTATTTTGAGGCTTCCAAATCAGTGTGTGATTCACCATTCTAACTGGAACAGATGTGTTTTTAAGCAGTGTTATGCATTCCTTAGAGTATTTCTCTGTGGCAAATTACAGGACATAGAATTGCTGGGGTAGGAGTTTGGGACATTTTTATTTTGACAAATATTGAATAAAGTATCCTTTTTCATCAATTGTGCTTAAGAAATTGTGAGTGAAGACTAATGTACATTTTGTTTTCTGCATTTTTGTCTGCAGGTTTCAAAAACCTTTAACAAACAAGTAACTCATGTTGTGTTCAAAGACGGATACCAGAGCACCTGGAACAAAGCTCAGCAGAGAAGGGTAAAGCTTGTTTCAGTGCTCTGGGTTGAAAAGTAAGTCTTTCTTTCTTTTTCCCTTAAATATCTAGTATTGGTAAAGTATGGAGATACATTATGCATATCACAGAGCAGATAAAGTTTGCTTTCCATCCTTGCCTCTTACTTCGGCAAGTAATTTAATATCTTCTAGCCTCAGTTTCTGCAGTTGAAAATGGGTATAATATAATACCTAACTCTGCCTAGAGGGAAAATGAGCAGGAAGGACCTGAAGCAGGGGTTCGCTTGGTGTATTCAGGAAACAATAAGTAATGTGATAAAGCAGAGAGAGAGAGAGTTGAGTTTCCTTTGGTATTTTTTCTTTTCAATTATGAATAATTCTGTTTAGCATTTCTTTGTTTTTAAATTGAGATAAAATTCACATATCACAAAACTTACCCTTTTTGTGTACAATTCAATGGTTTGTAGCATACTCTATTCACAGTTGTGCGGCCATCATCACTAATTCAAGAAAATTTTCATCACCTCAAAAAGAAGCTCTGTACCCATTAGTAGTCACATCTTGATCCCTCCTGCCCCCAGCCCCTGCCAACCATGAGTCTACTAAAAAGTAGATAAAATCTCTATGGATTTGTCTTTTCTAGACATTTCACAAAAAGGGAATTCTGTAATATGTGGCCATTTCTGTTAGGCTTCTTTCCACTTAGCATGTTTTGAAAGTTCATTCATGTTGTAGCATATATCAGTACCTCATTCTGTTGCATGGCTGAATGATATTCCATTGTACGGATATACAGGTTGAGCATCCCTAATCCAAAAATCTGAAATCTAAAATGCTCCAAAATCTGAAACTTTTTGAGTGCCAATATGACACCAGAAACAGAAAATTCTACACATTGAGTACTTAACATAAATTTGTTTCATGCACAAAATTATTAAAAATATATATATCAGGCTATGTGCATTAGGTGTATATGAAACATAAATGAATTTTATGTTTAGATGTGGGTCTCATCCACAAGATATCTCATTATGTATATGCAAATATCCCCAAATCTGAAAAATCCAAAATCTAAAGCACTTCCAAGCATTTTGGATAAGGGACTCTTAACCTGTACCACAGAATTTGTTTATGCATTCATCAATTGATGGACATATGGGTTATTTCTACCTTTTGGCTATTGTGAATAATGGTGCTGTGAACATTATTTTCTGTTTTGGGGAGGAGGGTGTGGGGAAAGATTCATAATCAGGCAGCTATCATTCTTCCCTCTTCTTCATCTTCTTATGGAGTCCACTAGAATGGCTTATCGATTCTTAGATCTGTGATCAGTCTGTCTCTGCTGTTACTCCCATGATCCAGACAGCTATGTCTTGTTTCAGTAACTGTTGCAGCCTCCTGCCTACCTCCTTTTTATTTTGTTTCCTGTACATTAGCAAATGTAACTCCTCTAACACATAAATCAGTTGTATCCTTCTTACTGAGGTAAAATGGCTTAGAATTAAGTGGTCTAAAGCATGGAATAGCAAAGTATGGCCCCCAGGCCAAATCCAGCCTGCCACCTTATTGGTTTTTATTAGTGGCCCATGAGCTAAAAATGGTTTTTACAATTTTAAAAGGTTATCCCCCCCAAACAAATCAAAAGAAGAGTATTTCAAGACTTATTTAAATTATATAAAATTGAAATGTTAGTATGCACAAATAAAGTTTTATTGGAACACAGCCATGTTCATCTGATGGTGTATTGTCAGTGGCTGCTTTTATCTACAGCTGTGGAATTGGATAGTTGTGGCAGAGACCATATGGCCCACAAAGCCTGAGATGTGCATCATCCGGCCCTTTTACACAAAAAGTTTACCCTGGTCCAGAGCACTGCATGATCATCTCTTCTTCCTCCCTCAGCTGTTCTCCTGCCCTTGTTTGCATCTTCCAAACACTCTGGTCTTCTAGGACCTCAGATGGGCCAAGCCCTTTCCTGCCTTTAGTTTTGCCTTTGGCACATGTTAAGAACTCGATGCCCTTTCACTGATTCTTAACCCAGTTTTGTACTCAGCTTCTTCATACGTGTCATATTTCAAGGTCACCTTCGTAGAAGTGCTTTCTCTGTCCCTCAATCCACAGGTTAGAGCCCTCTTTGTTATTCTCTATCTCAACTTATTTCCTGTTTTTGCTATTAAAACAGGAAATGCTTATCTTGCTTATTTGTCTGCTTTATCTGTTTAATCAGACATTTTGGTCTTTCCATTATAATGTAGGCTCTGTGAGAGCAGCTGTATGTCTGTCTTGTTCATGGTTGTGTTTCCAGTAAGTATCTAACACATTTTTAGCTCATAGTAGTTACTCAATAAATATTTGTTCTAACCAATTAATGATCAAAGAAAAATTTACTTAAATGGCATGGAGATATCAGAGAAAATTTCATGGAGGACATGACTTGAGCTACATTTAAAAGGTTGTTTGGAAATGTGGAGGGAAGGGTACAGAAAACATAGTAGACCTTTACTGAGAGCTTGAAGTAAATAGAGAAGCACAAACCAATGTGCAAAACTGACTATTAGTCATTTCTGTACTTAAATAGGGGCTCTCAACTAATCCTGATTCTGGGAGTCATCACAGAGTCCTCTCTCCTGTTCTTCATCCCCTTCTTTGCTTCTGGGCCATCCAGCCTCTGGGGATCGTGTAGACTCCAGAGTACATGTAACTTTGTTATCCAGAGGCAAACTTTTAAGTCCCCTCAAAGTAAACATAATCTCTTGGCATTTTTAATACAGATTCTTTTCTTATCATATTGTTTGTTGTAATACAGTCAGATTTTAATTATTACATGTACTTAATTACTGATTTTTAGATCTCCTTTTGCTATCTTGAAAACAAACTTTCTTTTAATTAAATGTATTTATATTAAACTTGTATGTGTTTTTAAAGTGAAAAATCCCCACCTAATCTACCTCTTGTCTTGCCTTCCTTCCCCTAAGTTGGGAATTTGAAATATACAGTTTCAGACTTTCTACTAAGTATATAAAAGATGTATACCTAATAATAATGTATTGTATATTTCAAAATTGCTAAAAAGAAAATAGATTTTAAATGTTCTTATTACAAAAAATAAGTATGTGAAGTGACGGATGTGTTAATTAGCTTGATACAATCATTCTGCATGGTATCAAGATATCACATTATACCCCATAAAGATATACCAGTCTTCTGTTGATGAACATGAAGATTTTATTTCTTTTTTTCTCAATCAGAAATAGTATGACAGTGAGCTTCTCTATACATTACTTTTTTCCAGATGATAAATCTTTCCACAAGTTTAAGTTCCAGAAGTGGACTTTTGAGTTAAAAGAAATTGCACATTTAAATTTATGATGGGTTTGGCCAGATCACCTTCTATTTAATAGAAAGAGTGTCCCAGTTTCCATTCTTCCTAGCAGTATAAAAGAGCACCTATTTTCCAATACCTTTACTCATAATCATGAGTTATTAGTCTTTTTAATCTTTCCTAACTTGTAGGTGAAAAATAATAGTTTTCATTTACATTTCTCTGATTTTTAGTGAGTTTGAACTTTCTTCAACAGAAGAGGTAAGAGTCAAACTGACCTTTATTTTATATATCAAGTGTCTGTTCTTCCTTTGTTAACTGCCTGTCCAGGGCCATTGCTCATACCTTCCATTGAAAATGTGGGCATTAACTACTTGAGGTCACTAGGTGTCACTAGAATCCCATGTCGTTGTAAGAGCAGACAGGCCACTGATAAAATTCTGACATTTCCTGTGGACAGGAGAATTTTTTTATCTTGAAGAAAAGAAGAAATAAAGGTCAGCTTGACTCTTACTTCTAAGTTCTCTTTAAGAAAGAGATTTTAGTTTATGAAGAAAGTTTATTGTAAAGTAGGCTACTAACCGAAGCCCATCACCCTCTGCATTGTTTCCTGCAAACAAGGACATTTGCCTTCATAACCACAACACAGCTGTCAACATGAGGGACCTACTATAGATACTTCCCTGCCAAAGAATCCTCAGACTTCATCCCTGTCTCACCAGCAGTTCCAATAATGCAGTCTTTCTCACTCCGGCACCATTCCTCTGTCTTTCTTTGGCATCTGTGACTTTGATACTGTTGAAAATCACCAGTCAGTGGTGGATAACATCCCTTAGTCTGGGCCAGTCTGACATGTCCCCCTGAGGTTATGGGGTTCTGCCTCTTCTGCAGGAATGTCCTGGAAGTGATGGTGGGTTCTTCTTACTACACCCTCTCAGCCGGTGCATGATCTCGGGCTGCTGTCCTCGTGAGGTGCACTTTGATCCCTTGGTCACGATAGCCTCTGCCTGGCTTCTACCGTAGAGCAAATTTGCAATTCATACACTTGCATGGAAGTTATTTCAAACTATGTCAATAACTATTCCTCATCACACTTTTCATGTATGTGTGTATATATATATATGCATGTATTATATTTTTGGTTCCTGGCACACAGCTCCTAAGTCCCTTGGAATTTCCTGGGTAATAGTGTTTTTTGTCCTGATGAGGCCATTTTAGATTGAACATTCTGTGTAACTTCAGAGTGGAAGCTGGTGGCCAGCCCTAGACATGATCAGAGGGCTGCAACTTTGAGCATCGCCTACTAACCCCCAGGAAGGGGAGAGACTCTGGAGATTAAGCCAATCACCAGTGGCCAGTGATTTAATCAGTCATGCCTCTGCAATGCAGCCTCCATAAAAACCCCTGAGCAGTGGGTTTTCAAGAGCTTCTAGGCTGTTGTATACATCAGGGTGCTGGGAGTGTGCATGAAGGCTCTGTGAACCCTCCCTCATACCTTGCCTGTGCATCTCTTCCATTTGACTGTTCTGAGTTGTGTCCTTTATATTAGTAGTAAACCATTGATGGTAAGTAAAGCACTTTACTGAGTTCTGTGAGCTGTTTGGCACATTATTGGGTCTCACCCTCCCTGGGCTCCGACACCCTATACTGTGCCTCACCCCTCCCCCTGCTTGGGCTCTGCTGCCCCATAACCAGGCCTGACCACCTAGCCCTGGGCCACCACATGCATGTCCTCCTTCCCCTTATCTTGACAGAAATAATTATGATAGAGCAAGGCAAATTCATTAGAATCTGACACATTGTTAAAGGAGGATCACCAAACCAATAATATACATTATTCCTACCATGGGCTGGTCCTCTTGTCAGCCTTTCCACAGCAAGTCCAGAGGCCCTGCAGCAGAGCCAGGCTGGTTGGGTAGGAATCCTGTGGGGGTCAGCGAGTGGGAGGGTAGAGGGAAGCAAGGGCCTAGCGGGACCTGCAGTTCTTAGCTCAGTTTTGGAGAGGAGTACTTTATAGTACTTGCTGCCAGGAAATGTATTGACTTAAAACCAGTCTGGTGACCCGTTGGAGAGGTTTTGCATCTCCCCAGCATCTTGTAGTCTGAAGATCAGTGAACAGGGCTGAATATAATAATGTGGTCCCTCCTGGGAAAGGTAGGCTGGGCCTGTGTTGGCTTCTAATGTGTACATAAGGAAAAAAGCACAGGCTGGTGAGCTTCAGAATGATTTAGTAGCAGTAAATGAATCACTTCTTTGGTGTCCTCTTCTTTTGTTATTTGCTGTTATGTTTCCCTGCAGTGCCCTTCTCTCGCATATAGGCATTAAAATTCTTTCCTTTCCTGAAGGCCTGGTTCAGATCTTCTCTCTTCTCTGATAGCTTTCCAAGAAAGTAGCACGGTGTACTGAAAAGATGCAGGCTCTGAGCTAGACACACAAGAGCACAGTAGGGCTGTGGTGTGCAGCCGCCTGGTCCTGGGCAGATTACTCCAGCTCTGGGCCCTATTTCCTCCTGCAGTGCCTAAACCTACCTGTGCCAGGTGGTGGTTCCACAACAGGTACTCCAGGCTCACACCCTGGTTTGGATTCGTTGCTCTCTCTGCACTCACAGAGCTTCCTTATCTGGACTTCTCTGAGTCCCGTACTGTGTTCTTCTTTGTGCCACAGGCAGATATGTACTAAGTTTGTGTGTTTGCATGCTGGGACCTCCAAAAAGATGTCGTTCACCTTTTTTATTTCCCCTTAGTGGCTAGCACAATACCATCTGCATAGGAAATTAATGCAGTTTTGCTGAATTGTCTTGTTGACTGGGTTTAGGGAACAAGGTAGTAACACTGAGCAATTTGGCAGAAGAGTAGGAAAAGCTGCAGGATTGCTACAGGTGAAGTCAAGGGGTAGAAAAGGAATCTGTGGTCCCTAGTGGACCTAGCAGGCTTGTGGTAGGAAGTGCTGGAGTCATTCGGCTACCTGGGGAGAAGGTTTATCAGAGCAGGGGCTTCTCAAGGAGAAAGATGCTGCTTTGGTTTCCATTGGCCCTGAAGTAGCAGCAATTGGAAAATGAAGGTCAAAAGGTTGGCTCTGTGATAAAAGACATCTCTTGAAACACTTTTCTTCTTGACCACTAGGTGGGGGGATAATGTTATCATTTTACATTTCTGAAGAAAAATCAAAATCTAATTGGAAACTTTTTCCGCCTATTCACTAGATTTTGATTTGGTGCCTGGTAAGTGTGGGTTTTTTTTTTTTTTTTTTTTTGAGACAGAGTCTCGCTTTGTTGCCCAGGCTAGAGTGAGTGCCGTGGCGTCAGCCTAGCTCACAGCAACCTCAAACTCCTGGGCTCGAGTGATCCTTCTGCCTCAGCCTCCCGGGTAGCTGGGACTACAGGCATGTGCCACCATGCCCGGCTAATTTTTTATATATATATCAGTTGGCCAATTAATTTCTTTCTATTTATAGTAGAGACGGGGTCTCGCTCTTGCTCAGGCTGGTTTTGAACTCCTGACCTTGAGCAATCCGCCCGCCTCGGCCTCCCAAGAGCTAGGATTACAGGCGTGAGCCACAGCGCCCGGCCAATAAGTGTGGGTTTTAATTTAGCAGTGTCAATATTTTACTGAGTGTGTGAGAGCATGCATCAGAGTGATGCACAAATGGTTGGGAAGCTTATTCTCCAGTGGGACAGAACACATCTACAACTGTGTCACCTGTGTCGGGCCCACATTTTACTGGATTGAATCAAGCCTTTCCCCAGACTGCTAACTGTAAAGGATACTTGATAGTTTGGTGGAGGGAATCCAAAGATACGAAGAGTGAGCAGTATGTTGAAGGCAGAAATGGCAAAGGTAGCCTCAGATGGATAGAAGGAGGAGGCACAGCTATGCAGAGCTGGGATACACACTGAGCTTTCTGGGCTGATGGTGGTTTCTTGACAGAAACACACAAAAAGGACAACCCAAGTTTGGAGGAGAGATAGGCTGTCTGGCCTCAATTTCTTTAGGCCACTTTTAGCTCTAAATTCTCCATTTAATGGCCTTTTTACTCTTAAATTATACATTTAATAGCATCTGCTTATACCTTTGTGAGTGCCAGGCACCAATAATTTTGAAATGTGCTATGCTATACGTCAAAAATTGTTGCATAAAAAAATGCCATATGGAGACCGAAAATTTAATTTATGATGACTTTTGTATTTGGTATTATTTGTACTTACTTTAAAAGAAGTGTCTGTTAAAATGACTTACGTATGAATTTCCTAAATAGCTGATACATGTGCAGATTTAATGCTGTGTGACTATGTCATGGAAATACTCACTGGACTGCTTTAATTGTACAGATGCAGGACAGCTGGAGTACATGTTGATGAATCATTATTCCCTGCAGCTAATTCTCAAGAACACTTACCAAGTCTAATTAAAAAAAAAGTAAGTAAATGATTTCAACATAGACACTGGCAATTATGAATTTATTCATTCTTATTTTTTAATTTTTAGAAATATATCCAAAAGTTGTCTTAAATGTGCTGTTAATGGTATTGTTTTTTTCACATAGCATTTTTTAGCAAATTAATAGAGATAATTTTAACTTATGAATGCTTTCATGTAATTTATAAGAAATGGAAGAGACCGGCTGGCCATGGGAAAACTAAAAATCTTTGAGAGACCATCAGACAATCAGGTGGATTGGTGATTACATCAGAATTCAGTTTGTTACGTCTGTAGTAAAATGCCTTCATTCTGTTAGCTAGAGAATCTCAAAAGTCTGAAGCAGATACATCCAAGTGTGCAAATTCATTTATTATAAAAAATTTACTTAGTGAATAGAGTTGTTCCTCAGGATCTGCACGGGAATGGTCCCAGGACCACCCTGTGGATACTACAATCCATGGATGCTCAGGCCCCTCCTATGCAGTAGGTGGTGTTTGCATGTACCCTACATATATCCTCTTGTATGCTTTAAATCATCCTAGATTACTTGTACTTAATCAGTACAAATGCTGTGTAAATAGTTGTTATACTGTATTGTTTAATTTGTGGGGCTTATTTTGGTTTGGTTGGTTGGGTTTTTTGTTTTTTATTCTTTGAGTATTTTCCTTTCTTTTCTTTTTTTGAGACAGAGTTTAACTCTATTTCCCAGGCTAGAGTGCCATGGTGTCAGCCTAGCTCACAGCAACCTCAAATTCCTGGGCTCACGCGATCTTTCTGCCTCAGCCTCCTGAGTAGCTGGGACTACAGGCATGCGCCACCATGCCCGGCTAATTTTTTCTATATATTTTTTTTAGTTGGCCTATTAATTTCTTTCTATGTTTAGTAGAGACGGGGTCTCGCTCTTGATCAGGCTGGTTTTGAACTCCTGACCTTGAGTGATCCTCCCGCCTCGGCCTCCCAGAGTGCTAAGATTACAGGCTTAAGCTACCATGCCCAGCCTTCTTTGAGTATTATCAGTCACGTTTAGTTGAATCTGCAGGTCCAGAACTCTCAGATATGGAGGGCCAACTGTAGAGTGAATGACACTGCTTTCATTTGAGATCTGATTCACACTTAAACTACAACCTTTTTGGTTTTCTATTTATTTGAGAATTTTTATTGTGATTTCTTTTTTTTTTATTTCGGTATATTATGGGGGTACAAATGTTAAGGTTACGTATATTGCTCGTGCCCCCCCTCCCCCCTTGAGTCAGAACTTCAAGCGTGGCCATCCCCCAAACGTTGCACATCTCGCTCATTATGTTTGTATAAACCCATCCCCTCCTTCCCCCTCCTGAACCTGCCTGACAACCAATAAATGTTATTCCTATATGTCCACTTAGAAAGTCTCCAAACAATAATTGTGATTTCTTCATTTGAGGGTGGTTTACTATGAAACATCAAAGCCACTTTGTTTTCACATAAGAATCTCTGTTGGAGGATTTGACAACTTTTTCAAATTAGATTAGATGAGAACCGTACATTTCCTGTAGAGTAAAAGGAGAAATAGCTGTGGACTTGTGCACATTTTCTGAAAGTAGTAAATGATGTATCTCAATTACATTTCATCTCTGACAAGCTAGAGTTTGCCAGTGCAAGAATGAATAAGCCTCCTTCAATCTCCATCCTAACCCCCATCTGATTGTAGGAGAAAAAGAGCGTTCAACAGAGTCTCTTGACTCTGTGACATGTGAAAATAAAGTGTTCATTATAAAAACAATCCATAATCCATATGTATTTTCATTGTGAAGCATTTAGTAAAGACAGATAAGAGACATCTCTCTTTTCAATTTGATGAATATACTACTGGATGGAGTGTCTTTGGTGCATGGTGCACACACGTATGTGCTTTGTGCACATGTACGAATGGGGCTCCGCTACCTTATGTATATTGTTTGGTGGGTTGCTTTTTCTTCCCTACTTTAACAGTATGGTTTTGATCATTTCATGTCAGTAGCTGTAACTCTGCTCATTTTTCTGTGTTGTATCATACAGTGTGAATGTGCCTTTCCTGTATTCATGCACTTTTAGATAATTGTCAGTTTTTGCTAAGTGTATTACTTATGCAGCATAGCAGCACATTGGAGTTTATTTCTTTAAGTTGGATATCTAGAAAGGAAATTACTGGGTCAGAATTCATATACATTTTAATTTAACAGTTCCACCAACAGTGTACAAGAATAGCTATTTCTTGGCACTCTGACCACTGCTGAATATTATTAATCTTTTTAATTTTTCCTAATCTAAAGCCATAAATAGTGACTGCTCATATCCTTCACCACTTTAAGTTTTACTCATATCTAAAAAACCTTCCCTTTCCTCCTCTTTTCCAAAGGCAATTGCAAAGTAAACATGGCTTGAGGCTTTATTTTGGGTCCTTGAGGAGGTTCTCCACCTCACTCCACCTCACCGTGCTGTCACCAGCCTGGCTGGCTTGCTGCTCCGCAAACATACTAAACATGTCTATTTTAGAGCCTTGTGTTAGCTGTTCCCTCAGTCTGGAACATGCTTCCCCCAAATCCATCCCCATGGCTGGCTTTTTCCAACCTCCTTACAGCGCTGTCTCGATGAGACCTTCCCCATGAGACCAGCCCTGGCTCCCTTTTTGCACTAACAGTCTCTTTCTGCCTGTGCCAGCTGTGTGTACAAGTCCCTTATTAGCTGTAACACTTATTCTCTCTGACACTGCAGTAATGGGGGCAGTCAACCAGGGTTCACTTGCTAAAGAAGATTCACAGGACCCCAGAATAACAATGCGTCCAGATCTACAGAGCCCCGTAGAACCAGGGAACACATGGGGAGCCTCTTGTCTTCTGCTGGCCCTGTGCCCATGTGACCCAGCCCCACTGGCAGAGCCTTCCAGGCAAATCCTAGTCTTACTAATAATAAAGAACTTTGATGAGCTGGTATGGTACTAACTTCCCCCAAACTTCTTGGACCTGTGGTTACAAAGCAACACTGTTAATTAGTACTTCTCATGTTGTGCAAGTACATCAGGGAAAACAGTATAGGCGAGTTCCAAGCCTGTGTTAGCCTTCCAACACACATATGATATAATTTACTTATTTATTTTCTGTCATTCCTTCCTTGCCAGAGTATAAGCTCTATAATGGCAAGGATCCTTCTAGGTTGCAAGACCAATGCCTGACACATAATAACATTTTTGTTAATGAATGAGTGAATAACTAACTGAGCAAGAACATAAGTGTAGGCATTAGCATTGAATGGCTCATAGAAGTTTATTCTTTTAAGACTGGAACAAAAGAAATTAGGCCAGGTATCCAGATAAGCAAATTTGCGCTGGTAGCTTCAACCTACAAAACAAAAGAGACCTAGATAGAGACTTAAATTTTTCTGGGGTCCTTTAAGAAAGAGTACAGGCATAGAAGTAGTAGTAGGTAAAATTGATGAAAAGGTTGGTTTTTGTATTTGTGGTCATGCTGAGCTAAAGGTGGGAAACAATTGGGTAGTTCTGAAGAGGAGAAAGTAGGTAATGAGGGAATGTGAGACATGCTTTAAAGGAGACATTGCCCTCTCTGTCTGATGATGGTAAAACTAGAGAGTTACCCCAAGACTTTCTTGGGGAACTCAGCCTGGGGTTTCGTGTATTTGTGTGTGTAGTTATAGTTTTTGGGTTTTACTGGCTGAATGGAGTTCCTATGATCTACAGACGACAAAGCAAAATTAGGTAATGGTTCTTTTCTTTGATAATTATAAGATAGTAATTATTTTTGTGTTTTATTACCATGTTGTGATTTTAGGGGGAAGACAATGTGAGAATTGCAAAAAATGGAAAGAGATTAGTTTTGTAAAGAACTTTCCTGGAAACTAAGAATGCTGGGATCATAAAAATGACTTAGAAAATATAGCTATGTAATATAGAGCCTTTTATTCAATTTTTAAAATTCTGTCCATTTTTTTATAATTGTACAAAAAGAAAGAAGTATTTCCAGTTTGCATTGTACAAGAAACACCTTTTTAAGAACTTTTTATTACTGATATTATAAATGGTATAAAAAATGTCCATGAAAGCACTTTTTTTCTGATCTTAAGCAATTGTAATACAGTATTATTAATTTTTGTATCCTTTTTGCACAGCGTAAATGTATGCAACCAAAAGATTTTATTTTGAAGACACCAGAAAATGATAAAAGATTTCAGAAGAGATTTGAGAAAATGGCTGAAGAGCTACAAAGGCAAAAAACAACTCTAGGTGAACCAAGAAATACAGTACAGTTCTTTGCGTCTGTGTTCATACAGCTCATTTAACTTGTGTGACAACCAGTGGCATTCAGGGGGTGAAATAGCTAATGAAGATTTCAGTAGTTCTAGACTAGGAAGGAGAAAACAAAATGTAATTAGCCTACAGGAAACTTTACCAGGGGCCATAATAGAGGCATATAGTTGAGCTAATCAACCGTGTACAGTCTTAATTGTTCATCAAATTTATGGAACTTTTTACTTTTAGGAATGATGATAGAAGAAAAGCAAGCTTTGACTAATAGGCCTCATTGAAATAAATTGCTGTTTCCTTCTTCTCATATATAACTTTGTATTTTTACATAACACTTGGTCTTTTTGTTTTGTTACCCAGGCAGAATAGGCAAATCTCAGATGATATATTCTTTCAGTGATTTAGAAAAATACTTCAGAGTATCATGAAACTTTTAAAGTACTTTGTATGTTTTTGGTATTTCTCCTTTGCCTTTTTCACTGTCTTCTAAATTCAGTATATCATACGGATCCTAACACACCATTGCTACAGATAAGTAATTGTAGTGACTAGATAAGGCATAGTTCAGAAATGGGAAGCATTAATTCCTTTAGCTTTTCTTTTCCTTTGATTTAGTCTATATTATTCTCACATATTCTCTACTCTGTATTTCGAAATTATTCAAATAGAATTATCAAACTTTATTTTAAATCCGTAATGATAATGCAACAGAATTTAGAGCATTTAGTCTGCGCAGTGCTGCTACATAATTTTCCAAAACCATGGCCTTTGTCATTTGTTTTTGTGCTCAACCCTCCTGCTGCCTCTGTTGGTGTGTACTTGTCTTTCCTTCACAAACGCACACCAACTGTCTGGTCTTCCTCGCTACTCAAGCCAGAAACATGCTTTTATCCTTGACATCTCCTACTCTAGCACTAAAACCCATCAAGACTGTGACCCTGTTTCTGGAATAATTGCTTGCGTCCTTCTGTTTTATCCTTCTGCACTCTTATTCCAGCCTGCACCATCCCTCCTGTACATTGCAACAGCACCCGACCCTGGCTCTCCACTCCCTGTCCCCTTACACCTCATCTCCATACTTCAGTCAGAATGATGTAAATCTCAAGTCAGAAGGAAACCCCCACCCTGGTTTAAGATTCCTTGGTGTCATCCTACAGAGAAGCATTTGGGATAAAATCCTGTGTTTAACATGTCCTATCTACTAGAACCTGTGTAATCTGGGTTCTTCCTTGAGCCTCAAATCAATATTGCACATTCTCTTGTAATTCTTGGTACTTTTGCCACTTTGGCCTTCTTTCATGTGTCAGTGATAGTATATTTGAAAAGAATTTGACAAAATGGTGATGATAGATATAAAATTTTCTCTTTTTAGACCAAATATGTATCTTAATAGAAATTGCCTTTTTAAAACTACACATATACGGTATTAATGATCCAACTAGTATATAGCTGTATCTTGTCAGAACAACAGTAAGGGTTGTTTAGACTTAAGAATTGCAAAAGATACTGAATGAATCTTGATATTTTCTTATTGGGGGTGAGCATCAAAATCCTGAAGTCCTTTTTGAGCATAGGCAAGGTATGTGCCAGAAAAACACACAACTCTGCACTTAAACAAAACCAGCCCATACTTTCATGGTTCAGGGACCACCATGACCCCTCTTCATGTGGTCAAGTTCATCTGTGGGCTGTGAGTGTGTTGAGGGTGGAAACAGTGGCTAATGGGGGTGGTTTCCGAAATCTGGAGTAAAAATCACATTTAGGAACCAAATTACATCCGGCTTTACAACTTACTAGTTGTATGATTCTGAGAAAGTTATTTCACTTCTGTGCCTCAGTTACTTTGTCTTTAAATGGGGATACTGGTACCTAATGTGTGGTTTTAGTTGGGAGATGGTTATATGAAATAATGTACTTAGTGTGCTCAGCACAACTCCTGGCGAGTGGTCATAGCTCAGCAAACATTATCCAGCAGCTGTAGTGACTGCTTCGCTGATGGAGGATTTGGTGGGCATAGAATATTAGTAGGAGTGCGTGATGATGTTGAAAGGGTAGAGAAAACTGGGGGGGGGGGGTAGAAGGTGGGTGTCCCTTGAAAGGAATCATGTTGTTGAAGTTTGAAGGCATTTTTTTTAGCTTAAAGTTGAATTTTTGTTTATTTTCAGATTATGATGTACCTATTCTCTTATTTGAATCTGATGGTTCTTTGACATATAGTCCCACAAGCCAAGTTAACAGTAGTCACCACAGTGTAATGGAGAAGAGACTACAAGAGATGAAGGAGAAAAGGGAAAATCTTTCCCCTACCTGTAAGTGATTACATTTCGTAACATGAAAACTGTGCGAATAGGTGAATAAATTGTGGTGGAAAGATTTTTTTTCTTTACCTACATATTTTATTTAATGTTTCCTGATTTTAACAAATTTTGACTTATTTCAGGGCAGACTTTGTTAATATTTTGTTCAAAAAAATATTATACATCATTAAGATATTTAAAGTTTATATTGTGTGGATAGTGTTCTCCAGGCTTATAATCCTGTTTGCTGCAGCTCTTTGTCATTTCTATCTTTGGAGTTTCTTTTTTATTTTTAAAAGTTTAATTAATCATATCTCTCTCAGAGGAATTTGCTTTATTTTTTTTTTTTTGACAAGTCCTGATGGCATTGAAAGGCATTTGCATGTAATAAATCAATTTATATTTTTCTTATTTCTTTCATCTCTAACATTTTAATTACTTAAGTAATTGAGTACATTTTAATAAAATATTTAAAAACTTAGCTAATAGTAAAAATTCATCTTGTATCCCACCAAATTTTTATTTCTGATTTGTAAGAGCTTTTTTTAAGGTTATATATTTACTCTGTCTTGGATTTATATTTGTATGTGCTATAAAATGGGCACCTATAGCAGTTAAGCTTCATTTTGGCTGCAGCACACAAAGCAACACACAAACCAATGACTTCACTTAGATAGAATTACCTTTTTCTCTCATGTCAAGTCCAGAAGTAGGCAGGCAGAGCTCGGTGGCATTCCATAGTGTCTTTAGGAACCTGGGTTTCCATCTTTCTCTTTTGCCTTTCTGGGTGCCTGGCTTTTCTTCCAAAATGTGTGTGCCCCTCAGCCAAGCCTGTTCCATTTAACAGCTTTACCATGTGTCCCATCCAGTATCCTGCCTAATCCATTGGCTGGGACTTGGTAGTACAGCCACTCCTGGTTGCAAGCTAGACTGAAGTATATTGTCTTCACTAGAGTGCATTCCTGTGCTAGTAAAATCAGAATCCTGTTCTAAAGGAAGCTGAGAATAGATGTTGAGATAGATAACTAGCTGTGTCCTAAATGGACATCCAAATTGTTTCAACTTATAGTTACATATATAAACTAATTTGCTTTAAACTGTTTTTTTCATTACTTTGCAGTGTTAATTCTGTCACTTCATTGTGTACAGCACAATTTTAAACTCAACACCTGAAAACTTTGTGATAAAATAACTACAACTCATAAACAGACATGCCTATTTTTTAAATGTAGGAACCCCTTGTTTGAGTTGGAGTAATAATTTTTCGTGGTTATATCTTTACTTTCGATTTATCAAATTTCTTAAAATTTTCTCACTCATAACTAGAACTCATAAATTTCCCCCTGAAATTAGGTATTATAATAAGATTAAGGCATAGGTTAAACTTCCTTTTTGGTTCCTATGGGTTTTCTCATAGGCATTGGCTTTTTTACTACAGAACAAACCAAGATAAGTAAGGTTTATTTTCTTTTTACAATTATTTGCATAGATCTTCTCAGAAAAGTATCCTTTTGAGTCTCTTTAAAAAATATGTTTGGATATGAGACTCAGGCATTTCTTTTGTTTCTTGTCTGTTGTATGCACAGCCTTTGAAGGTAATGTTTTTGACCTTATTTGTTAAATCATTGACATTCTAGATGTTTCCTATGAAACTGTAGTTTCTCAACCTCAGCACTATTGACATTTTGGGCTGGATAATTCTTTGTTGTGGGCACTGTCCCTGCCTTTCCCCACTGTATGCCTGTAATACACCTCCTTCCTTCCCCCAATTGTGACATCCAGAAATGTCTCCAGACATTGTCACCTGTATGCTGGGAGCCCAAATCACCCCTAGGTGAGAACCACTGCTTTAGTTACAAAAGTAACTGTTACAGTCATCCTTAAAGAAAAAGCCAAGATTGTCAAACAGGAAGACTGACCAAAAATGTTCATTTAATTTTGTTAAGTTTCTGATTAGGTTCAGGAAGTTGACTTTTAAGATCCCTTCTGACTTTTGTGATTCTGTGATTTAATAGAATCCCCTATGATTAATAGGTGGACTTACTGTTGGCTTCATCTACTAAAAAATATTGAAGTTATATCTAACGAAATGTTTTAATTCTGTTTTCAGCTTCCCAAATGATCACACAGTCTTATGATAATCCAGGTAACTCTCTATGTGAAGAAGCATCTTTGAACATTTCACGTTATACTTTGTGTTCAGGTAAAATTATTATTTTCTTTTCTGTGATATATTTAAGCTTTGAGAATAGTATGATTTTCTTATTTAGAATTTCATGTAGCCATTTCTATTGAGTAGAATAATTATTTAAAGCTAGAACTCATAAATTTCCCCCTAAATTAAGGCATGCGTTTTAACTTTTTGGTTCCTGTGGGTTTTCTCGTAGGTGTTTGCTTTCTTGCTACAGAATCAATTGCTCGTTTTTTTTAAACTTTGTGCTATTATGTGTATGCAGTTTAAACTATATAGAACTGAGAGCAGTCAGAACTAAGGAAAAATTGTTTCACACAATGTATAATAAACATATGGAACATGTTATTAAGCGGGATCAATGAAGTATATAAAGATCATCAATAAATTCAGGAAATTAACAGGATTTCTAATTAGAAGCAGAAAGCATTGATAAGAATTAATGAAATTGGTTATGTGTTATACATATATATTTTATTATTCTGGGAACCCTTGTTTGAGTTGGGATGATAATTTTTCATGGACCTATCTTTACTTTGGTTGTATCAAATTTCTTATAATTTTCTCAGCCCACCATTGGGCCCAAGTAAATAGTGGTGAACCCTAAAAGAACTGTGTTCAAAAGTGCTTGAAATGCTATGGAACATGCTATTATGAAAGCCACAATGGTGACAAAGCACAAAATAGTATCAAGGTATTAGGAGTTTAAAGTTTCCTTTCAATGCGTGGTTTATTCTTGCAGTCTCATCTGTGTGTGTTGGAATTATTTACCCATTTATCCTAAATAATCTCCGTCTTTTTATTTATACTGATACAGTTCTTATAAGTTGGAAACAAGTATTAATAATAACTAACACTGACTTCACTTTTGCTATGTTTTAGGCACTGCTTTAAGTGTCTTATTAACTGTATCTCACTTAATTCTATTAGCCCTATGAAATAAGTGCCATCACCATCTTCATTTTGCCACTAAGAAAACCAGGACACAGGTCAAACAGCTTGTGCAAGGTCATGAGCTTTTTATGAGTGGCAAATCCAGGCTTCTAACTTAGGCAGTCTGACTTTAGAATTTATACTCTTAATGACGTGTCACACTGCTTATCAGCTTTTTGAAACATGTTATAAATGTATTCAGCTGCTAAAATTAAATGTGACCTATATTTCCAACTGCTGCCTTAAGGACGTACAAGGCTGTCTGACTTGGCGTAGACACAGCACCACCCTGCCCACTGGCCTTCCCTCCTTCCTGGAGCACAGCAGCAAGGAAAGGGCTCTGATGATTACTGTATTCTTCCTTTTTAAAAGTAGAGCTTTAGTGATTCCATTCACAAAGTTATAACACTTAGGTTATCTCCAGATGTGTGATTGCTGTAGAATAGACGTCCTCTGCCAGCAGGCACTGAGCCTTTCTTGGGGGAGCCAGCACTGGGCTGGAGACTTCATGTTCCTAAATGAGCAGAGAGTCGAGTCTGTTCTCTAGTGGGTAGTGAGAGGGGCAGATACACACACACCATAGTGCAGTGTGATGTGGAATGCTGTGTAGCAGAGGAAGACATGGCCAACTAGACTTGGCAAGGGTAGTGGGAAGGTCACAGGGATATTGACAACCCAGTTGGGCTTTGAAGGGTGAGTGGTATTTACCCAGAGTAAAGTGTGGAGGAAAGGCAAGGCCCAGAAGTGCGGGAGAGTATAGAATTTTCAGGAGATAGATAGTAGCTTAGTATTACTCTGAAGAAATGTATAAGCTATATGGGAAGTCAAAAATTAAGATCTGCCAGATGGTTCACTTTTGAACATAAGTATTATTTGACGACTTCACTAGAAGATAGAGAAGGTAGAGATGGCTTATAATAATTGGGGAAATGTTCCATGAAAGAGTAGAAATTGTCTTGCAGCAGTAATTCTTAAGTTTTAGCGTTATTGCCCTCCTAAAGAATTTAGTGACAAACTGTGGATGCTATTCCTGGAAAAAAATGCACCTGCATCTGGAAATTTGCATGAAATGTCTAGAGGTTTGTTAACGTTTTTTTCCACCTCGATCTTTATCTCACTTAAGCCCAGGTTCCTTAGTTAAAAATACTGGCCTTAAAAATATCCTTAAGTTGGCCGGGCGCGGTGGCTCAAGCCTGTAATCCTAGCACTCTGGGAGGCCGAGGTGGGCGGATTGCTCGAGGTCAGGAGTTCGAAACCAGCCTGAGCAAGAGCGAGACCCCGTCTCTACTATAAATAGAAAGAAATTAATTGGCCAACTAATATATATATATACAAAAATTAGCCGGGCATGGTGGCACATGCCTGTAGTCCCAGCTACTCGGGAGGCTGAGGCAGAAGGATTACTTGAGCCCAGGAGTTTGAGGTTGCTGTGAGCTAAGCTGACGCCACGGCACTCACTATAGCCTGGGCAACAAGCGAGACTCTGTCTCAAAAAAAAAAAAAAAAAAAATATCCTTAAGTAGAAAGAAGAAGAATGAAAATCCAGTCAATACTCTTCTTAACTAATAGCTATGCTTAAAACATATTATTTTATTGGTCACTGGAAATGACATTTATAATAATTTAAACTATTTTTAAAAGTTGATTCTTTATTAATAATTTTCAGATGAATCCTTTGCTGGTGATTCACACTCATCTTTTGATGATCTTTGTGGAAATTCAGGATGTGGAAATCAAGAAAGGAAATTAGGAGGATCCATTAATGAAATTAAAAGTGATATGTGTGTTTCTTCACCTGTTTTGAAAGCAGATAGTATTCATTCATCAGCATCTTCCAGTTACCTCAGCCGTTTAAGTCCTCAGAAATTCATGAGTAATCTTTCAAAGCAAGAAAGAAATTGGCGAAGAGATACTATAGGTGAAATAGTCACCCCTGACAAAAAACAGGCTGAAGGTCTATCTAAAGAGTGGTTGTATGAGAAATACCGTTTGTCTCCTACATTATCTTCAAAGAAAGGCCTCCTTTTGGTGCATTCAGTATCGAAGGGTTCCACAGTGAAGAGAAAAAGGACACCAGAGGACTTACATTCACCTCCAAAAGAAAACCTAAAAAAGAGATGCAGCCGGAGATCTATCATGCCAAGGCTGCAGCTGTTTAAGTTAGAAAACAGCCTGCAGTTCATGACCAGATCTGCTGCTGAAACTCTGGATTGCGGAGAGTCCTCATATGATGATTATTTTTCACCTGATAATCTTAAGGAAAGGAATTCAGAGAATCTTCCTCAATCTCAGCCATCATCCAGCCCTGCTCATTTCAGCTGCAGAAGTCTTTCCAAAAGGGAGAGAACAAGCATATTAGAAATGTCTGATTTTTCTTGTCTTGGTAAAAAACTCAGATCAGTCAGCATTTCCAATTTAATAACAAAACCCAGCTCCAGTCTACAGAAAACTGGAAATGGTGAAGTCTGCACAACTTTGAATTTTATGACATCTGAGGGAACTTTTGCCACTGCAGAAACTCCAGAGTGTTATAGACAGGCTGGGCCTCTGCAGGGAGAGGAGACATGCCCAGATGTAAACAGCTTTTCCTGCACCATTGATGACCTTGCTCATCCAGAAGGACCTCATGGAGATTTTACTCCTTTGAAAGGAGGCAGTAAAGAAACGAAAGAAATGGTTGGTATAAAAGGTACACAGAAAGAAGGTACCACTTCCAAAATGCTGAACTCCTCTGAAGGCGAAGCACAAAGTGATTATAGGCTAAATTTTGTAGATGACTTTAATGTGGAAAAATCTACAGAAGAAAAGGAAAACTTATCCAGAGGATATAGTGAAAGTATGTGAATCTCCTTTTCTAAGTATCTTTGTTAAACAAATATGTAATAGTGCATCCATATTTCAAATTCATCACTTTTTTATAGTTTAAATTATTTCCCCTTTTTCATTTAAAGATTGTATGTTTGGCCGGGCGCGGTGGCTCACGCCTGTAATCCTAGCTCTCTGGGAGGCCGAGGCGGGCGGATTGCTCGAGGTCAGGAGTTCGAAACCAACCTGAGCAAGAGCGAGACCCGTCTCCACTATAAATAGAAAGAAATTAATTGGCCAGCTAATATATATACAAAAAATTAGCTGGGCATGGTGGCGAATGCCTGTAGTCCCAGCTACTTGGGAGGCTGAGGCAGGAGGATTGCTTGAGCCAGGAGTTTGAGGTTGCTGTGAGCTAGGCTGACGCCACTGCACTCACTCTAGCCTGGGCAACAAAGCGAGACTCTGTCTCAAAAAAAAAAAAAATAAAGATTGTATGTTTGATATTTTCCAGTGATGAATTATTTAGAAGTTATGATCAAATCTGTTGTTATGAATACATTTCTCTAAGTTTTTCCCTCTTACAGGTTCAAAGAATAAGTAATACTTAGTATGAATAATTGACTTAGAGTGAATCCTTTGTCCTTGTTCCATTATAGCCTCTCACTATATATTGTATAGTCTCTCACTAAAACATGAATATTGTGTAAAGAGGCATACTAATAGAGGGTTTTTTAAAAATCTAGGTTTTTAATAATGAGGCTGTTTATTTTAGGAAGAAAATTAAGGTAGCATGAGCCATTACTTCTTTCAAGAAAGAGGAAATATAAAAAAGTACATTTAGAAATACGTTTTATCAATATTTATTTTTAAAGAAACTTTGGGCAGTGTTAACTATAAATTTTTTTGAAACATTTTTGCTTAGGTAAGAAGTTCATTTGTAATAAGCCTTGTTTGCCTTCTATTTATTTTGTTTAAAAGTATATTATTTAAACAATTTTATTCTTATCCATAGTTTAATAGTAACCATAATAATAAATTATGTAATGAACAGCATAATAATGCATATAATTGTAGTTGTGGCAAAAGTAGCAACAAAAAACATCCTGCACTTTTATCATTCTAAGCACAAATAGGTTCCAGCAGTCAAAAGTGAAGAAATCTCAAACTTTGAACATCTTTACCTAAAGATTTGGTTAAAATTTGAATAAGACCAAATTTACTCTTCATCATTTCTCTACTTTTCATTTGGTTTTAACCAACTTTTTCAAGATGGAGAAGTCATAGTGAGGGTTGAAATAATCACAGATATATCACATATCTTTTCTTTGAGTACAAACTCCCTAAAAATGATCTCACAAAAAGAATTAAAATAATTTTATATATTTTTATCCTATTTATATCTTAGCTTTCTGAACATACTAAATTTGATAAGAAACTATATTTTATATTCCATTAGACTTAGTATGTATTTTCAAAATATTCATTTTAAAATGATGTTGACCCCAAAATTAATAGAAACAGTAGATGTATATAATTGTTTTGGTGGTTAAGAATATCCTCTTAATTCTCATTCTTCTCAGTTCTTATCCTGTGTATTTTTTAAGCTTTGGAACAATACTTAATGACATGCAAATATAAATTAAGTGGAAAAAAGCTGGTTTCAATCAGTGTGGCACAGTGTAAAATTTCAGTGTTGTCAGGAATTGTCAGTAGTCCTTGGAAGCAGGTTTATTTCCTGTTCTAGAACTTAGACCCCAATGTCCACACCCCATTGGGTCTGAAGTCAATAGAAGCGGATGAGGAGCAGGCCCTGGTTGCCCCACTGGAACTTGATTTAGAGATTTTTGGCCGTCTTGTGTTTCAGGCCATCACACAGTGGTGTACAGACAGGGCCCTGGTGTAACTCACTTTGACTCAAATGGAAGGATTCTCTATGCTTCTTCTAGAGTCATCTGCCTTATTTCACATCGTTATCCAAAGACAAAAAATCATTGGATTCTAGGACAGAAAGATTTACGTGTTGTCTAGCCTAAATCTAACCCCAGTCTTTTATAATAATAAAATTGAGACTTACTGACATTTTAAACTATCCACTGTCAACTCACTGAGACTCAGGTAAACCAAGTGTGTCTTGGAATCTACCTTAGATGACACTATAAAGCCTTTAGTTTACATGTCACATATGCACATTCCATTCTTGCTGAACTTATGGAGTAGTAAAGACTTCTGTACATCAAATTATACCTCTCCAAATCTTTCATGTTGAAATAAATGTCTTTTTTCAATTTGTGTTTTCAGTTTACTTTTTGCTGTCATTATCTAAGATAGAGTGTAATAAAGCTTTCAAGAACAAATTATGGAGAGATTCAGTAATAAACATGAATAGAACAGGAACTGAGTGAAAAACTTAATTTTGTTTTTTATAATTTTAAAATCATTTAATTTTTTTCATTTTTACATTTTCTCCAATTTTATAAACAATACACAAATACATTTCCATTATAACAAAGATTGGTAAAAAAGAATAAAACCTTCCCATCTCAAGCTCCTCACATACCTCCCTTTATTAGTTCACTTAATAACTAATGGAAGTTAGTCATGCACCTGTTGGGCAGGTGGGGCGATAGCAGAGATTGAAGCAGTGTGTGTACCTCCAAGAGGAGGAAATGAATGGAAATGACTGTATAACACTGTCAGCTTTTGAGCAATTAGTGATAAAAAGAAAAATAATAGTGCATCAGATAGATGAGGCATCCAATGAAGGCTTCCTTGAGGAGGTGGCATCAGGTCATAGGCCTGGGAGATGTAGAGGGGAGCCTGTGACTGTCTGCTGAAGTCACATTCCAACCGGAGGTAGCAGTGGATATAAATGTCGCACTGTAGAAAAATGCCTTCAGGAACACTAAGTAGGCCAGTGCAACAACTCTCACTGAGCTGAGGGAAGGCAGTAAGGTAGCAAGAGCCAGCTGCCCTGACAAGATGGGGAGTTGTTTTAAGTGTGATGAGAAGTCACTGGGGTTTTGAACAAGGGAATAACCAAATGGATTTATGTTTTAAATGTAAGCCCTTTATGGCGAACAAACTGTGTTGGACTGCCTGCTCTAAGCAATCGCTGTCAACTGTTTAATGTTTCTTTCCAGACGTGTGTGTGTACATACAAATGCAAATAGATATTTTAAGGGGAATTTTTTTTGGAATACATATATTATCCTATCATCTTAAAATTTGCTTTTTAAAACTTAATATGTCACGTATATTTCCATATTGTTATTAATAGATCTATATTTTTTAATACAGTCTATATCAGGGGTCAGTGAAATCTTTTTATAATCGGTCAGATAGTAAATATTTTAGGTTTTCTAGGCTGAGAGGCCAAATCAAGGTATGTCAGTATCTACATAGAAAATTACATGCATAAAAGACATTTTCACAAAATGTTTATTAACAACACTCAAAGTAAAATTCAATACAGTTTTTTTAGTATGCAGATCCACTAATGAAAAGAACAGAATTTTTTTCTGAGGACAGTAAGAATAACATTTCCTTTACTTGGGGTTCAAATTGAGTATTCCCATCACCAACATTGATTGCAAATCTTTATTAAGGCTGATGTGTAATAAGATTTTATGTATGTCACCTTTAAATGCCTTTTTACAAAGAGACATATTCCCAATCCACATGCAGATGACTTTCATTGAGCATATTCATGCTTAAAAGGCATTTATGGAATTCTGTTTGGTTCTTCTCTTGGTAAGTGCCTTTTAGTATGTCCTTACATTGCAAATTAATCACTTCTAACTGAAGGTTAAGGGGAAGCTCCTTAATTATACAGTTAAATGGATTTTGAAATAGGAAATTCTTTTTGTTCTTGAATGCAGTCTGAAAAATCCTGCTGGAACTGCCATTTGAGCTCAGGGAAAATGTCCACGCAAATTTGCATTGGAATGGAGATCTCATGTCCTGTTTTAACTTTTGGCAGCACAGGACAGGAATTATATAAAGCAGCTTAACATTACTTATTTGTGCAAATGATATCCCACCCGCTTTCTGACACTATTAATCATAGCTCTTCAACCAACAGAAGTTGGTTTGAATTGCCCAGTAGATGAGGCCAAATTGGTCGTCATCCTAGTGTACAGCTTGGCTCCTAGTTGCTTCTCACTAATGAATGGGGACAGAGTGGTTCCACAGGTGCCACATGTCCACCAGCACAAGCAGAAAAGTTCTTCCCATGCCCATACTCCACTCTTGCCTGTTTGTTTAATGCAAATTTTCTTCTTTGCTGTGCATGATGGGCTTTTACATGTCAGCATCTTGTACATGTGTGTTGTGAGCTTATCTGAGCAATTTGATTATGTCCAACTACTAGGTTCTTTTTCATAGATAACAGCCACCAATTGTTAGAGGTTGATGGTGCTTAACTACTTTTCTACCAGCTCTATCTGCCTTATCTTAGTCTCAGACAAACATTTATTAAACATTTATTGGCAGACAGGAATCAATCCACAAAACTGACCAATATGCTGACATCCCAGTTCTCTGTCCTTGAGCGCACTGTCCATACCTTATCTGAAAGGTTTATTAGAGTATGTTTCTGTAAACTTATTCAAAATCAGACCACCAGATATCCTCTGACCGTGTGGTTTATCATGGGGCCATTTAGGGATCAAGCCTTGGATACCATCCCCAGAGATACGAGCTACAACTCCTGCTAGATTGTTATGTCCTACTCATGTGTGGGTAGGGAGTGCCCCTGTAATATTTCAACCCATCCAATTTTCTTGAATCCCTTCATTTAACCAACAAGAAACTATTTCTGACATCCATTATGCTGATTAACAAGCCGACAGCATCACCAATTATAGCTCATTTCTGCCTTTCATTTGGCAGTTAGCAAAGCCTCTAATGACAGGCTGTGGGGATTTACAGGAATTGTCTCTGAAGTGTGGTGATTCTGTTAGCACACTAGCTAACCACTCCTGGATGTGTTTTGAGGCAGATGAACTAATATACCTCATATCAGACAGT